AGAGAGAGAGTGAGAGAGAGACATAGAGAGAGACAGAGAGAGAGACAGAGAGAGAGACAGAGACAGAGACAGAGAGAGAGACAGAGAGAGAGACAGAGAGAGAGACAGAGAGAGAGACAGAGACAGAGAGAGAGACAGAGAGTGAGAGAGACAGAGAGAGTGAGACGGTGTCCCGGTGACACCGTCGGTCATCAGGCTCTTATAAACACAAGGTTTAAACTACATGAAGACAGTCTGCGCGCTACATATGCGCCGAATGAAAGTTCATGTTGATCTCCTCAATACAAATGTGAAACAACATTTTAATAAGGTATGTATCTTTATGAAAAAAGCAAGAGAACGTTAAAGTAGAAGATTTCTCAACGGAGTCTGGCCTCGTCTTTCTGTCTCAGCCTTTTAACGCCGCGATCTGACCCACAACGCCGGACACACGAGCCTCAGAACTCACCAGGTCTCTGGAGGTCTCCATTAGGCCGGACGAGCTCACTGAAACACTACAAACACGCAGAAAGAACCGCTAAGAGCCAGCGGACAGCAACAAAATGACCATGCCTCTACTGCGCAGGCGCCGGGGACCGCGGCTGCTCACCTCTGATTGGCTGTTGTCTCTGCTTCGTGTGTGGAGTTCAGATGAGAAGGTGTTGCTCACTAGCGACTCCTGCTGGACAGACCGGAATAACACCAGTAGGTCGGTGTGTCTTTATATTTTACTTTGGTAAGAATAACTAAACCAGCGTGTGGAACAATTCCATAAATAAATAACTATGTCATGGAAATACTCAAGTAAAATATAAGTACCTTGAAATTGAATTAAAATATTATATTTGAGTAAATACATTGTTGTAGCTTTCCAACACTTTTTGTCTTCAATACTCTACAATAACTCATATTTACGCATGTTTTCTTACTAACACACTCAAGGTATTGATTGTGTTATTGTTTTATCTTTGAACAGCTGCTGCTGAAGTGTGACGTTAATGATAATATTTTAAATATGTAATAAAATCACGTTTAAACACTACAGTTACAGAAATGTGTGTTTTAAATTCTAAAATAAAGTGATACAATTGACCAAGTTTTCTGTGTTTTTGCTAACATATTTATTATGAAAAAGCAAAGGAGATGCATGTTCTGAATCTTTGATTTGCATCTTTTCATACAAGCTCAAACAACATACTGCGGATGATTGATTGGGAGAATCAGCCGTGCATATTAAATATAATACATTTAGTTCTCACGTGGCCCCTCAGGATCCAGAACAAGTGCAGACCTGAACTCCTCCAGGCCTTAAGGCAGAGAGCTTCACTAAGAAGGGGAACGGCTGCACCGTCCTGCAGGAACCTGTTACACTGCACATTCAAACCTGAGCTCCATCGTGTCCTGACACACCTGTGATAGAAACACACACCTGAGGGCTCAGACAGCTGCTCTGAGATCAGATGTGATGCAAACTAAGAACTGGATTGACACATCTCGATGTTTGCATGAAAGGAGACTTTTAAAGGAGGACAGATGAGCACAAAGTGAGAGGCGGGATGACGGCGTGGCAGCTTCTTCGTGCAAACAGAAGCAGAACCCGGGCCGGTCCGGGTTACCGTGCTCATCATCCTGGACCTGCAGCGTCGGTGCTCTACAGCCCGCTGCTCGCTGCTGAAGACGAGACTCCGGACGGCAGCAGAAGCTTCTGTCTGTCCGGACAGAAAGCGTCTCTGCAGCAGCTCAACGGGAGGCTGGCCTCGTACCTGCAGCAGGTAGGAGACAACAGAGAAGAGATCTCAGATGGATCCACAGCAGCAGAGATCATAACTAAACACAGATTCATAAAGAATGGTTAAAGATGCTTCTATTGGTAACACAACGTGAAGAAGACATTTCAATGGAGTTTTGATGCATGAGGTGGAACATACAGAAACGTTCCTGATGATCCAGCAGCTCACAAACACTGACATCTAAAGTGAAATTTAGAATTGATTCATAATTATTGCTTCAACAGCAGGAGAACATTGAAATGCCAGATGTCTTAATGGAGTTCTGCATCAGCATTTCTTTTGTCTTTAAAGGACACGTTGTGCTTTTCCTTATTTTCTGTCTTCTATAAAACATCACAATGTGTGATTATTAAACGAGGCCAAAGAGTCAGAGAATGAGATACTAAATGTTTGCTGTTGGTCGTCTGTTCCAGGCAAAGTCTCAACACAACGTCTCTACTTCACTTCGTTGTGTTTAGTTTATGAGCAGTTGTTGATTTCCAGCATTTAAATCGTGATGTGTTTCATCATTTTTTGACTTAAAAATGTCCGAAGTATGAAGCCTTCAAACAATTAAAACTCTCTCACATCATGTTTCAAAACTTGATGTTTCTGAATAAATATTGTATCACCAGAACAACATGAGGATCGATCAGCTCATCTGATAACTGATCACCTCTGATTGGTGGATGCAGGTTCAGCGTCTGGAGACGGCCAATCAGAGGCTGGAGCGTCAGATCCAGGAGCAGCTGGACAGGAAGTGTCCCAGAGCGCTGAGACGGCGGGACGGATACCTGAGTACAGTGTCCCTGCTGCAGGACCAGGTGAGACCAACACCACCAGTTATCCAATCTCTAATAATGATAATCAAATAATAATAACAATAATAATCCAATCAACTGAAGTCTCTGCAATCAAACCACAGGAGTGATGTTACACTGATCAACAGTGAAGAGCAGCCTGAACAAAGAAAAGAAGACACACGAACAATAGAATAAAGACCAAGTAAAGACCAAGTAAAGACCAAATGCTCTGTAAAAGGATGATGTCAGGTGTCGCCTGTCGTGTTCTGACTTGTCAGGAAGTTGTGCGTCTCTTTAAAGGTCAGACAGGCTGAAACGAGTCTGACTCTAAATGCACTTGATTGAAATGTCAGAGATCAAACTTCAACATGTTCTGTAAACTGAACAGATAATTTCAATAACAAACTTTTATTTTTGCACAGACAAAGTGGTTGTGGTTTCTGAGGATGGTGTCTTCCACAAGTCTGAGACTGACTTGATATTTAATATTTACTAGTAACTTCTCAATCATAAACATGATAACTCTCCTTCAGCAGCAATCTAATTCTGAAGGCAAGACCAATAACCCAGAGTCGGGCCCCAAGTCATTACATACAAGTCCTGAGTCAAGACCCAAGTCAAGCCCAACAAGCCCGAAGGCAAATCCATTCAGTCCCAATATTTAAATCAACACCAAGAAGTCCAAAGTCATGTCCCACATCAATACCAATAACCCAGAGTCAGGTCCCAAGACATCAAGACCCCATCAAATACCAAGTGATGGCCGAGTCAAGAATCCAAAAAGTTCCAAGTAAAGACCAACAAGTGAGGAGTCAAGACCCAGTCGAGAGTCAGAAATTTTCAAGTCAAGACTAGCAAGCTACCAGACAATTCCCTCAAGACCAAATCATAACAAACAAGTCCCAACTCAAGACCAATTAAAGCTGCGAGCAGCATTGATCGGGCCCTCGCAACTTCACGCACGTCGAGGGTACTAGCAGGACTCTGGCCATGAATTTCTGTGACCATCATACACTGCGTGCACGAGTTAAACGGTATTTCCTGGTACTGGCAGGACTCTGGGTGACGCGGCCATGAATTTCTGTGACCATCACACTCTGCGTGCACGAGTGAGATATTTCCTGCGTAGACCAGCAGCGTAGCAAGATCATGTTGCCAGGTCTTAAGCCTCAAATGTTTTGACTGTACATCCGATACAATCATAAATGTAAGCCTTTAAAGATCATTAAGAAAATGAATGTGTGTGAATGTGCTTCAGTGTTTGTAACATAACAGACTGTCAGTTTACTAGGATGGGGTTCAACTCCCTGCAGTGTCCTGCTGATTGTATTTGGACTTACATGAAAGTTAACAAAACAGTAGTGCCATTTGCTGTTACTTGAACACTTTAATTTAACACTGTTTTCATTTTAAGTTCTTCTGTAACTTTAGATTGTAGTGTGAAGCATTCATTGTAACGTTTAACCTGATTGTGATGAAGAAGCTCTGGACAGATCATTTATACTAATGCCCACTGGCATGGTTTGAAAATCTACTGTTATCTAACTTTTGCTCTCCAAGCATCTTAGTTTGCACATATTTAGATCAGAGAAGTCTTTTTCTCATGGTGTGCCCACAAACCCTTTCAATAAGTTCAGTGTTTGGGCCGCTGTAATTATAGAATCCTGCTTATGTCCGTGCTTATCAGTAGGTGGCGCTATGACCATCACACCATATCCACGTCGTTCGATGAAACCTAAACTTTTAGTAACTTTTAATCGCTAAGGTCTTTAGATTGTTCTGACCAAATTCTAAGCTGATTGGATTAATTCCCTAGGAGGAGTTCGTAGTACAGCACCTGGAAATGGAAAAAAACACGAGAAATTCATACAAAATTCAAAATGGCTGACATCCGGTTGGGTTTCGAGCATGGACCCTTAAGACTTTTTTTTAAGTCTACATGTGATACACCTGCTTACCAAATTTTATACATCTAGGTGAAACGTACTGCGAGGGCTGCATCATCGAAATATTGTAGGGGGCGCTATCGAGCCGACTTGCCACTCTGAAGCATTAAAATCACAATAGATAACTACATTCAGGATTTTAAATGTGTGTGACAAGTTTGGTTATGTTTTGAGCATTTTTAGCCTCTCAAAAACACCTTAATCTTTCATGGCGAAGAATGCGTCGCCACGGCAACAGGCTTTCACGAAACAACAAGCTTTGAGTAACTTTTCATCACAAAAGTCTTTAGATTGTTCTGAACAAATTTGAAGTTGATTCGATTATTTCCCTAGGAGAGTTTCGTTAAAGTAAAGTGCCTGGAAATGACAAAAGCGACACTAGAAATTCATACAAAATTCAAAATGGCTGACTTCCTGTTGGGTTTAGAGCATGGTCCCAAGAGACTTTATTTTAAGCCCACATGTGATACATGTGCCTACCAAATTTTGTAAATCTATGTGAAACGTACAGAGAGGGCTGCTTTGTCGAAATATTGTAGGGGGCGCTATTGAGCCGATTTGCCACTCTGAACCAATAAAATCATATTATATAACTACATTTTGGGCTTTAAATGTGTATGCAAAGTTTGCTTATGTTTCGAGCATTTCTAGCCTCTCAAAATTACCTTAGTTTTTCACAACGAAGAATGCGTCGCCACGGCAACGGCGTTCAACAAAACATCAAAAGCTTCATGAACTGGCATTATGAACTTGTTATATTTGTGTGGAACTAATTTGATGTTGATCTGATTTATCTACTAAGAGAAACAAGCCAAAGTATAAAGACTTTAACTGACTGTTACCAGTAGGTGGCGCTATGACTATGATTCAAAATTGGCCTGCAGATGTCTTCAGGCCTGGAGTCTCATCAAACATGTGGAATCTGGTAAAGATCTGATGATGTGGAGTTGAGTTACATCAGTTTATTTCTTCATGGCGAAGGATCGAAATTCGCCGAACCGCAACGTCGCCGCCCTTCAACAACTTCTTACGATTTTCACAATGAAGCATTATCAAGGTCTTAAGGCTGTTCTGGCAACATTTTAGAGGGATCTGATTAATCTGTGAGGAGCAGGATGTCAAAGTACAAAACGTACAACTTCCAGTTGCCACTAGGTGGCGCTATTACTATGATTCTAAATTATTACATAGATGTGTTCCGGGTCAGGATGTTATGACATATGAGAGATTTGGAGCAGATTAGACAATGTACGGCCGAATTACAACAACTTCCTGTTTCGCGGCGAATGGTGTTTTTTTGACGCCACGCCACGGACACATAGTTCCATAACTTTTTGATCTTTGAGTAACTTTTCGCTGCCAAGTTCTCAAGAGCATACTGACCGAATCTGAAGTCGATCGGGTCAAATCTCTGGGAGGAGTTCGTTAAAGTATGACGCCTTGAAATGGTCAAAAAACGTCATAAAAGTCAAAATGGCCGACTTCCTGTTTGGTTTAATGAAAAACTCCAAGAGGATTTTTTGTGCGTCTCATCACGTTCCACATACCTACCAAATTTCATACAGCTAGGTGAAACCCTATGTTGGGGCTACTCAATAGGGGGCGCTATCAAGCCAATTGTTATTATATATATAATAAGATATAATATTTCATACCGCAGCTGGACACCCCAATCAGACTGCAATTTTCGCAAATTCTGGCTTGCGTGCCAAATTTCACAAAATACCCAGTATCCCAAGCACCTCCTTTTTGCGATGAAAGTGGAAAAGTAATAATAATAATAATAATAATAATAAACATTAGAATAACAATAGGTCCTCCGCTCCGACTACGTCGGTGCTCGGGCCCTAACAAGTACCAAGTCAAGACCAACAAGTACCAAGTCAAGACCAACAAGTCCCAACTCAAGACCAACAAGTACCAAGTCAAGACCAACAAGTCCCAACTCAAGACCAACAAGTACCAACTCAAGACCAACAAGTACCAAGTCAAGACCAACAAGTACCAACTCAAGACCAACAAGTACCAAGTCAAGACCAACAAGTACCAAGTCAAGACCAACAAGTCTCAACTCAAGACCAACAAGTACCTAGTCAAGACCAATAAGTTCCAACTCAAGACCAACAAGTCTCAACTCAAGACCAACAAGTCCCTAGTCAAGACCAATAAGTTCCAACTCAACAAATTAAATGCCATTTTAATTTTGTCTGTTGTCAGTAAAAATAAAGTTTATCAGACGACAGGCGCAGATACTTTATATATCTTAAAAAAAAGCAAAATCAAGTTATTTCAAGTCAAAATACTGGAGTCCAAGTGAGGACACAAGTCGTTGGTGTTTAAGTCAAAGTCAAAGAGAAGCTTACCTCTGACTGCTACTACTACTAATATTACAACTCCTATAGTGGCAGTAACACTTAAAACTAGTTGAACCACAACTGGTCAACCTCCTCCAGTTAACGTCTCTCTCTCTCTCTCTCTCTCTCTCTCTCTCTCTCTCTCTCTATCTCTCTCTCTCACACAGATCGGTGAAAGTCTCTTGGCCCAGGCTCAGGTGAAGCTGCAGCTACTCAGTGCAGAGCTCACCATCTTCGACTTAAATGCCAGGTAGATCCTTTACACTTTCAACACACACACACACACACACACACACACACACACACACACACACACA